TTTTTATATATATCATATATATACACATATATATCATTTATATATCATATATATCATATATATCATTTATATGTATAGATACATAATGCATACCAAATGAAGGTGAAAAATAAATGCAGTTACCCTTAAATGAGGAACTAAAACTAACACCATCCACAGAAAACAGAGTGGAGGTTTAATGCATCCTAGTTTGAGGTGATCGTTGCCTTCATGCCACAAGAGACTCCAGCATCCACTAGGTGTAGGCCAGCCCCTGGAGTCCATGTTGGGGCAGGCAGAGAACAGGATATAGAACACTTGCTCACAGACACACAAAAGCACAGGGAGATTTGTACATTAAAAGGGGTTCTCTCGTGTGTTGGTGAGTGAGGGTGGTGGTGCCGGAATACCTAGCAGAATAATGGCTCATGGTTCCAGACCAACGGCAATCGCAATGAACATTTCATAAACTATGTCACTGGTTTCATTCTCCTGATGAAACCAGTCTCTTTGCCCCCATCTACAGATAAGAAAATGGAAGCACAAAAAGGTTAAATGATTGGCCCAGAGTCACCCCGCTGATTCGCCATGAAGATCGGGCAAATCACAGATCCTTCCTGAGCCTCAGCTTCCTCTGTGTAGAAAGGCAGTGTATCCCTACATCGTGGGGTTGTCTGAGGATGAAATGATGGGGTGTATATGTACATTCAGCAGGTGTCTGCTTCATAATAAGACAGAAACAGCTGCTGTTTTGTTAAGGGCAGGGTGGTGATGGTGGCAGTTCTGTTGGTTTAGGGTTTTTTGTTTTGTTTTTTCTTTTTAGGGACAATCAGACATAGTTCTCATTTCAGCTGGAGTTGAGTTACCCAGGTTCCCATCAGGGGTTTGTGAGAAGTAAGCCAGGTGCTGCCCCTTCTCCAGCACCTCCGGAGGAATTAGAATGTGCCCTTGAGTGGTCAGGGAGAGGCAGGACGTAAAAAGGAGGCAACTGCTTTTTGAGGCCTGGGACTTGCCTCCTGATTCCTACCTCACAGCAGTTCTGCTGCTGCATTATATATTCACCTATCCTCAAAGAGGGTAAGGGAAGGGACATCTCTCTCCACCTAAGAAATAACCTGTATTTATCTGAACTAGTAGTGAGTTTGAGGAAAAAGACTCATTCATCCATGTTGAACACCACTAGGCAGGAATCTTGTAGTTGCAAGTGACAAAACCAGGGGTTTAACGTGCACTGGGAAAAATGGGAAACTGACGGGGTCTACACACTTCAAAGGTCTGGGTATATATGGATGATTGAGGAACAGCTGGATCTCAGTGTTGGGAGACCGTCATCAGGATCCCATCACAAAGCTGTGTTGACGTTACTCTTGGGAAGACTTTACAATGTTCGACCAACCTCTCAATAGAATGAATGCTTTCTTTTCCAACTTTTTGGTTAAAATCCCAGAATTAGGTCCCTTTCACCTTACTGGGGATACATGCCCTTCCCTGAACTGCCATTGAGAACAAGGGTGGAGGTTGTTATCGGCATCCCCTGAATCATGTGAGTGAGCATGGAGTAGTGCCCCCCCAAATAAAGCCCCAGTGCTGTTTCTGAAGTAAAATGGAACGGAGGCTGGGCAGACGCTAGATAACAGGTGTTCCCCAAACACATCTGGTTCCATCAGTCTTTAGCAGACCCTGTGAAGCAGCTCACACCCTCCCATGAGCAGACGAGGATACTGATGTGCAAAGCAGTGGGGGCCAGGCACCAGCAGAGTGGTGCCACCTTCCACTGCCCCTAATGGAGTCTCTTTGGTCCCAGGCACCCTGCAGGCCAGTCCTGCCACCACGTCTCCATCAGGCTCCCTCAGCGGCTCCCAAGACGATAGTGATTCTGATATGGCCTTCAGTGTCAACCAGTCCTCCTCAGCGTCCGAGTCATCCCTAGGTAAGGACAAGCAAACCCCAAAGGTGGTAGGGGTGGCAGCCAACCTGGGTCCTTTCACTCTGCCTTTGGCCTTCTCAGGTCCAAGCAGGGTGACCCTCATCTTCTATGTACCCCAGTCCCGGCATCCTCTCCTTCCTCTGTTGTACTTTCAGCTGGAGGGAAGAGAAACACTAGGGGTGACACCCTAAAGGTGATGATGGTGCTTGATGCTTGGGGATAGGTGGGAAGTTTTCCAGAAAAGGGCAAACCCCCAAATTGGTATCTCCTAAAATTGTTTCCCTAGTGGCTGTGCCATAGACACTTTGGCCTCTTGGGGTTACCCCAACAGAACCCACCTGGGAATCATGCTATTAAGCACTGCCCTGTCCTCCCTTCCTGCAGTGACAGCCCCCAGCTCCCCGCTGAGCCCTCCAGTGTCCCCTGTGTTCTCCCCACCGGAGCCGCCCGGCAGCAAGAACAGCGAGTGCACAGTATGCTTTGATGGCGAAGTGGACACTGTCATCTACACGTGTGGACACATGTGCCTGTGCCACAGCTGCGGCCTGCGGCTCAAGAGGCAGGCCCGGGCCTGCTGCCCCATCTGCCGGCGGCCCCTCAAGGATGTCATCAAGATCTACAGGCCATAGCCTGGCCCCCCTACAGGCCTTGGCGGGAGCAAGGTCATCTTTCTGAAGCCCCCCCACTGGGCTGGGCAACCACCATGGCCGCCAGGGAGTCTGAGGGCAGCGGCCATCTGCCCCGCCGTTCTCCAGCGGTGGACAAGTCGTGACTGTTGGAGGGGCGAGGCCCCAGGGGCCTGAGCCCAGGCGAGGGTGGCTTCTGGCTCAAAAGTGCTTTGCTCCAAAAAAGCCATCCCAAAAGCATGCTCAGGACCACCTGGCAGACCCGCCCTGGCCCGGAGACCTCTCAGCTGGGAAGCAGCATCCTCTGCCCTCTGCAATGCTTTTGGCTGGGGTTGGGTTGAGTATTTGTGAAAGGGAAAGGGCAGGTAGGGAGACGAGAGAGAGTGAGAAAGGGTGTGTGTGAGAGTGAGTGAGAGAATGGCTAGGTATTTATCCAGGGATTCTAATGCGGGGGGTTATTTAACACTAAGGAACGTGCAATCCGGGGCCCAGACATTAGAGAGACCAGAAATTGATCACTTTCGGGGCTGTGACGTCAGCTGGTTTTGAATGTAAAAAAGCCTGCACCTAAAGAGAGCTCCCTCAGATGGTATGGAAGAGGGACGCTCAGATTTTCTAAGGGGAGGAAAAAATAGCTTATTGTTTACAGCTCCAAAGCAGCAACTCCTGGGGGGAAGGTGGGCGGAGAACATAAAAGAACAATTTGCTTTTTTTGTTTCTAACTCAGTCTTGGAGAGGAGTTTTGATGGGTGCTGGGGCCCAGAGTTCTGGGCAGCGTCATCCCCAGAAGCCTTTCACCCCTGCTCCCCGACACAGCCTAATAAGCACACGGCACCTTGTTTTCAGTGCATATCACCCCATCCTTGGCTCCAAGGAGAGGCCAAGCACCAGCTTCGCTTTTCCTGGGGGAGGGAAAGAATCCAGAGGCCAGTGACTCACCTGAAGCTCACCACTCATGTGGTGGCACAGACCAGCCTCCACATTTCCAGTTGTCCAGCTGGGCCTGGCATTCACCAGCAGCTGTGGGCATAACCAGGGCAACCTGCTGGCAGAGGAGGAGGAGTAAGTGCGCTTTGGAACTGGTCTTTGTTCTGGTTCTCAGCATCCCTGCCCCTGCTGGTCACTAAGGTGGTAATTGATCATTAAGATGTTAACTAATAATTGAGACATCAGTTGAAAATATTGACCTTGTGACTCTCCTCCCTGCACAGGACGCTTTGCCAGGTGTGTCCTGGAACCCTGAGCCCCAGGCCCACCTCTGCGGACTCCCAGGCCACATCTGGGCTGTGGGGTTAGCCCAGCCTTCTGCTGCCTTCTCACCACAGTTCTCGGCCACCTTTGCCTGCCCTGCCCTGCCCTGCCCTGCCCTGCGTGTACCTTTAGGGAAGTGCCTGGGCTTGTTTCTCAGTTCCCAGTCTGTTCCTGAGGAAGCCCAGGTTCTGCCCACTCCAGCTCTTGGGAGGAAGGGTGTGACCTGAAAAGCCCAAGACATGTAGTGAAAAGCAGGCATCATTTTGATACAGTTCCTCATTTGTCCATCTGCTGAGGGAGGCAGGGAGTGAGAGCTTTTGGAGAGTTCGTGTATTCACATAACAAACATTTGCTGGGTCTCCAGAGGCCCAGGGCCAGCTGGGCAGGGCTCTGGTCACATCAAGTCCCCTAAGACCAGTCAGTCTGTGTCCTGTGATGTTCCAGGTCTTGGATGAACTGCTTCTCTGGCTGAAGTGTGTTCTGACCTAATCTCAATGTCAGAACCCCTATTCTTGCCCCTGCAGGAACCCCTAATTGTTTTTCTTAGTGAATTTGGGGGACAAGTCCACATTTTAATTGTGCAGCAGAGTCACTGTGGGGGAGCTACTGCAACGCCAGCGGCACCCAAGTAAGAGTTTGGTGCTTGGCTGAACTTGGCCAACGGGAGAATTCCAGCCAGCTCCCAGCTCTCACCCCTGCTCGTGCTGGGTGTGAGCAGAGCCCCTCTGAAATCCCATATGACAGACCCCAAGACTGTGGTTCTCCAGGGCAGCCGCCTGCCTGGATTGAGCCCGTCTCGAGCCTGGGTGGTCTCAGCAGCCTGGGCAGTCAGCCCTTCTCTCCTGCTTTTGCTGGCTCCCTCCGAGGCTTGACAGCCATTACCAAGAAAGCAGTGACCGACCGTAGTCCAGGCCCCCCCCCCCACCCCCCTGTGTTCCTGGTGACCTGTCACTAGGGAAGAAAGGCGCCGGTGGCCCGTTTAACTTGCTCTGCAGCTGCTATAAATAGCCTCCGTTTCCAAGAGGAATTAAGGGGGTGTTTATCTTCTAAAAACCAGACATTTCCTGATGCTGCAAGCTGATTTATTCAATACTACAGAGAAGCCTCTCACATCGCCCCTATGTTCTGTCTGGAGAAAGGGAGCAGGAGGAGGAAAGGGAAAAGCTCGCTGTTTTCCACTTTGCACCACAGCACTTCCCGCCACCATCCTGTCAGGCAGGACCATTACCATCCTGAATAGCACCTGAGATACCATGTGAAATGCATTTTATGTGCCACTGAGGGGAAAAGCACAGCCAAATTTAAAACGCCACAGCTCTACCATTCATTCTAATCAGCGATGTTGAGATGCAAAAAAGCTGTCCTACTTAAAATGCATGAGCTCAGGTGAGACACAGCATTCTCCCCACCTGGTAGGTCAGAGAACTGAGTCCCCGTGAGTGAAGCCGCTTAGGGTGTCATAGCGGGATTGGGCAGAACTGGGGCTCAAAGTGGCTGTTGCCTAGTCCTACACTCTCCATTGCCTGGTCCTGGGTCCCACAGAGCTTGCAAAATCCCAAGTTTGCTTCTGGAACCTCATGTGGGCAACCCCTGGATCAGGAGGTTGGGCATCTACAACTGTGTGGAGAGGTCCACTGTCCCTGCCCCCCCGCGCCCCCAGGCTAAGACCCCTGGCAGGACAAGTGTCCTTTCTTTCAGGCTCAGGCGCCCTCCGCCCACTTTATCCTGGCAGACCTAAGCTGTGGGAGAGTTTGATTCCCTCCCGGGAACCTCCCCGTTACACCGGGATAACCAGGTATGCAACATGCAGGAGGAGCCAAAGACCTTGTCCCACCACCAACTTGGGCCTCATGACCACTCCCCTGCCCCAGGGGTGGAGGCAGGGTGACCAGAGGACACCCTTTGCTGTGGTCTTATGCCTGTTCATTTTGAGCCGCTGGAGAAACTGGGCTGTGGCTAAGTTAAAACAAGCTCCTATTTCTAGACCATTCCCACAACTGGGAGTCTTCTGGGATTTCACTGATGAGAGTTGCTGCTCCCCCAACTGTAGCAACGATTTTTCGGTCATTCAACACCCACCAATCAACATGACATGTTCTGGACACAGAACTGGGAACTGGGAAAAGCCCACAGGGAACTCAGGCCAGGGAAGGAGTTGGTCAGACCTGTCAGCTTCTATAATATCCTTCCATTGCTAACTGTGCTGGCACATAGTAGGTGCTCATTAAAAACACTGAATAAATCAGAAGTCAGATTATGATTTTGCAGACGTTTAGCAAAACAGCACTGTGTATATGCATACACATGCAGTCATTCAACAAACATTCGCCACTAGATGGAGTTTGGGAGGACCCACCTGAGAGGACAATGCCCAGCTCTGACATCAGAGGTAAGGTAAGGTTTAGAAGGCAGTGAGGCATTTGGGGCACCCATGGGCCAAGAAGGCCCCTTTGGCTGCCTCGGGAGTCTTGCCTAAGTGAGTGCCCAAAGTCTGCTTTTCTGACCAGAGCCCTTGCTTGCTTCCAGCAGCCGCCTCTGCAATAGAAATGCCAGGCAGCTGGCAGGCAGTGAATTGCTGCCACAGGGCCTTGGGCAGCACCCCCACCCCAACCCTCTTGATCACCCTCAGGTCCTGCCAGGAAGACATGGTAGAATGGCTGCCTGCCACGTTCAGGCCTTGGGACTGGCTGCTGAAATCAATCCCCCAGTCCCCAGAGAACCCCCGGGCCATTCCAGTTGGGAACTGGAGTGTGCAAAGTCTTGGAGGAGAGGCTGTAACCTGCTGCTTGACCCTGCGTCTGCCCTCACTGCCAGAGGGACGCCGGCTCAGGGACACAGCCTCCTGGCGTTTCTCGGGAGTTCATTGTCTCACTCTCTTTTCCAAGCCCCTAATGCGACGATTTGTACAACAATGTCTGTGCCTTATGAAAGTGTCTGTGCACTTTTTTAATCCTTTTTAAAAGCAACTTTTAAAAGTGGGCAGGGGATTAGCATACAAGGTAGTATTCTAGAAATCTGTGATAATCACCGAGACCCGTTTGCATTATGTTTTTAATGTTGGAGTGACGTGTTCCCCCCTCCCCCCACCACCTGTGTACAGACCTTTTTAAAACGGTCTCTTCTGTTTATTTTTCTGATTCAATACTGTGACCTCTCCAATACAGTCTAGTCTTTGGGGCTCTGTATAGAGGTTTTAAAACTTGGGGGAAGTGGGATGGGAAGGGTTTGCACTGATCCTGTGTGTTGTGCTTTTTTGTGTGTGGTGTTTTGGTTTTTGTCTGTTTGTATCTGTTTTATAGAAACATTTTCCTGTTTAAAAAAAATACAAGTTTGGCTTGTTAAAAAAGAAAATCTCTTCAGAACTCAATTTTGAACTTGGGGGGGGGCGGGGAGGGAAGTGGGGGCGGAGCCCTGACAGTGAACACGCTAGAGGGAACCCACAAATCAAACAACCAGAGTGTGCTTGCCAGAAAGCTTGGTTACACAGGCCACAAACCCAACTCCAACTGGCTTCAGGGAATAAGTTCAGGTAACTGAGAAGTCCAGAAAGAACCTCAAAGTCCACTTCAGGTGCAGTGGGTTCCAGAACGGGAGTGGTCTCTCTCCGTCTGGGCCTGTCCTCCTTTACTCCAGCCCTTCCCAGGCGAGTCCAGGCGCAGGTCCAGGCTGCATCCTGCTTTCCGGCCATCTCTCCATGGGCCAACCTGGACTACGTGCCCCTTCCTGAGCCAGTCACCAAGGCCCTAGAGATACGGGAGTTGGCCTTCACCCAATAGCTGCCAGGGAGATAAGAGCGGGAATTGCCGCCCTGGGAGGCACTTGGTACAATGAAGAAGGAGGCAGAGTAGGCAGGACACCGGCCGTGATACTCATGTGGACCTGGTTAACTGCATGGTCTGTGAAACCAGACAGCCTGTGCTTCACCAAGACATGCTGGAGACACTTGGCCTATTGTGCCTCAGTTTCCTCATCTGCAGAGCAAGAATAGTATGAGCTCCTGATTTCAGGATGGGTGTAAGCATTACTACTTTCCTGCTGCTGATGTGCCAGGCACAGTGTCTAGCACTCAGCAATAAGAGTTTATAACATGGCAATGTGTTTATGCTAAACTCTGCTGGGAAAATCAAGATCGAAAGCCACACATATACATGCTGATCTCAGCCAACAGCCCCCAAACTGAGTATACTCAGGGATGACAACAGCAAAGTCGCAAAATGTCCTTGGAGGCTTGTGACGGCTGGTGCCGCCCCCTACCTGGGTGTTTTACAGATTTTCTGACTGCCCAATAATTGCTTTTAATTTAATATTTATTTAGAAAAAGTACCTCCCTACTCTGGGGGGGGGGAACCCCAACAAGAACAATTGGCCCTTGCTGGAATTCCTGAGGAATTCCCAGGCTGATTGTCTGATTTTAAGATCTAAATTTAGTCCTGGTGGAGATAAGGTTTTAGGGGCCAAGTTGACCAGTTTGGTGGTGCTTTCTCCAGGCACATCTTTAGGATGCAGATTTCTGGGGTGGAGCATTGTCGTGGCCTGGGGAATGGGGGAGGGGGTGAAGGCTTACTCCTTCTGGCTGGGCTTGAGGTGGCAATGAGGTTTAGGAGCGGTGGAGCAAGAGAAATAAGCAAGCACTTACTGAGTAGACACAATCAGGATTTCCACAGTCTTCCAATGAATCCTTCCCAACAATATTTGTTTCTTCATTTTATAGGTGAGGGGTCCAGTTTCCCTCCAAGGTAGAAGGATTGCTGGCCAGGTGTGCCTACTTAGAGTAAAGGTGATAGCTGTCAGAAACACGTTTCATAGGCTTTCAGCTGGGTCTCAGGTAGGGACAGAGTTTGCCTGGAACCTAGGCTCTCTTCTCCCTTCCTTGGAGATATCACCCATTATATCACCCACTTCTAGGCCAGGAGATATATTTATAGGTGCCATCTGATAATCAAGACTTCTGTTTAAATAAATTGGGAGTAGGGGAACCCATATTTATCTAGGCTCTTTTGGTTCCAAGAGATTGAAAATCCAACCCAAGACTTAACTTAAGAAGCAACTCACAACAAAACAGGTCTGTTCTAGCTTCAGCACTGTCTGGTTTCTGGCCCTGCATGACTTCCGGTGTACAGGTGTTCACCTGAAGTCTCAGGCATCTTCCTCCATCTCTCAGCTCTGCTTTCCTCGCAGGATCTCCTTGCAGTAGGAGCACCACCTCTTTTGGCTTTTAAAGGAGCACTGAGCACATGCTACCTTAGTAACTGTTAAAAACTTTCAGGAAAATTCCCAGGTCTGTCTTTCCTTTGACCTCCTTGCATCAAAAATTCAATCCTGAATATTTTCTGTCACTGTCCCACACTTGATACAAAGTCAGGTGTGACATGGCCCTTGAACCCAAGAATCAACCACTTTGAGGGAAAGGCAGGCCTAACAACAGGCATACTGACATCATCCTAGTTCTGGGGGTGGTGGGACAGACTGAATTCAGGGCAAAATGGCTTTGGATCATTTAGTGGTGTAAGTTAGGAATTCTTTGTCTGGGCAGTTCAGGCCCTTCCTAATGACTGGGCCATGCCCTTTGGCACATAATGCTTGTCACCTATATTTCCTGGTTTCCTTGAGAACAATCCTCCACAAAGATAATAAATACAGAAACTTAATGAGCACTTATTATGTGCACGAGCATTCATTACTGAATCCTCATCACAGCTCATGAGATAACTCCTTCATTACTTCCAGTTTACAGGAGAAAGGACCAGGATTCAGAGAGATGGAGTAACTTTATCCCACTTTGTATGGTCTCTTGAAGGATTTTTCTGGTAATTTTTTGGATAACTATTTCCCAATGGTTTTTTTTTTTTTAATTTTTTTTTTTTTTAAGATTTATTTATTTGTGCATACAGAACTGGGGTACAGGCCAGAGGCTCAGGGGCAGCGAGA